GGGTCAGCCCCGCCAGCGCCGCCTGGGGAGGGTGAGGATATGGCGCTGAGGGGAGGTGGGTGACAGGCCCAAGCCGGGACAGCAGCTCTCGGCCCGGGTAGGGCCCCTCGGCCTGGCAGCGGCACGGCATGAGGGCAGAGGGGCCGAGGTTTGCCCTTTCAAACGTCCTTCGGGTGCTGTTAAATGAAATGGTAAAAGGGAAAAATCCACGGAGATCCCTCGGTGTCTCCTCCAGCCAGCACACAGGGAACAGAGAGGGCAGCAACACTGATCGGTGCAAGCCTCTGTAAGCAGCTGAAGAGAGAAATCTTGGCCCCGCGGCCAGTCGGTCATTGCCACCCCTATCTGGAAAATGCTCTGTTAAATCTTAATCTAGACCCCCACAAAGGAAAGCTTAAACCTAAAGAAGTTCCCTTGCAGACCACTGATCCGCACAGATGCTCGTGCCAGCATATAGCAGCGGGTGGCAGAGAGGTGGGAGTGAACATCAAGGATTGGGTCAAGACTATTCCTTTTGGAGTCTTGAGGCACTAGCAAAAGCACAAAGTAGTAATCCTGGACGTATTTGCTGACAAGTACAGCAGAAAGACTATCCTGAAATGAGATCAGTGGAATGGGGCATAGCAAACCCCATTAACTCCCCTTGCAGTATTTGGGTTTCCTAATGAAGTCTTTCGCTTAAATAATGCAACCCACTTTTTTGTTTCAAGTAGAGATCATTGTTCTATTCAGCAAGCATAACTGAAGAATCATAATGGCTTTTTCCTGCTAATTTCTGAATTGTGCAAAATGCAGTAATGCTGGATTAATTTATGGAGGAGCAAACTGCAAATGTTGGCAGAGCAAGGATGGTAAAAGGCAAAGAGAATCATAGCTGCCGAAGTAGGACAAGGAGTCATAAGGTGCCTAAACAATAAAAATCACACAAAATGCAAAAACACCCTTGAGACTTCATCACAGAACAATACAGAAAACTGGAAGCAGTCCATCTGAGGTCGTCAGAGTCCTTTCGACATTAAATGAAACTTCATTGGCACTAGCCACATGTTGACTGTAGTGGCCACGCCTCCATCACTTAAAATTTGCAGTGAAGAATGCAGGATCATCTGTAAGATTTTAGAGAGGAGGACTGTGCAGGCAAGCCTCTGTTCCCTTCAAGGCTCCGTAAAACATAGCTGTGTTCTTCAGAAAGGATATCAAAATTCTCTTCTGTTTTTGGTATGATGCTGGAAAAGTGTTCATTCTGTAAAAAAGGGGTAAGAAGTTTTTGCTTTTACATTTTCCTTTGGGGGTTAGAGACGCTGTAAGTAAATCCAGCATAGTTTAAGGGAGAGCAAGCGGCTTTCACTCTAGAACTAGTGTTTGGATTTGATCATTGTAGTTTCTATTAT